CTATATTAAATAGTGCAAAAAAAACATTTCGTAAATATCTGATTTAAATGTAAAATATATACTTTTAAATAATATTTCTTAAATACCTGATTTAAATGTCAAAGAAATGTTTATAATAAATATAGTTATAATATTCAAGAATCGGTCGCTTCAACCTATATTAAATATTGCAAAAAAATATAACTGTAATATTTGTGTGCTATCTGGAAATGTCTTTAATTCCAACTAGGAGACTATGGTCGATGCAGCCTACACTTTTTTTTTGTCTTAATATTTCGTCTCCACATAATGATCTAGACATTCGTCAATATCCTCCTCTGGTGGATACTGTGACCTCTTCTGAACCTCCTCTGGTGGTCTGAAAAAATCTTATTTTCGACTTCTTTACAACTGGACGCTTCTGCTCTTAAACTGATAGTAGCCCTTGGATGCTAAAGTTTGCTCCCTTTTTCAAATGTGGGGATTTCGCCTCTCGTTTTTCTTCGCTCATTATTTGTTGCTGTCCATGTAGACTCACCCTTTTTTCCATTATCGTCGCCTCCTCTATCCGCTATGATGATACTCTGACTGCTCAGAGACGTATAGCAAATCCTTCCACTAAAGCCGCCACTTTCATGGGCTTAATGCTCAATTGAATGCTGAAAATCGTAGTAAATGCTTGTCTTGTTTTTCAGATTCCTCATCGTGGAGCTTCCACGGCGACTCCAGATTCGCCCACCAAGAAAGCGCGCGGTTTGTTAAGCGTCCGGTTTCAAGGAGACAATGAAGCATTYGAAGCTGATGAGGCCGATAACGCAAGCGTTGAAGCTGCAGCTAAACGGTTTCCTCGAAGCAGGAGTTACAGTGGCGGCGGCCGAGAAAGAAAATAYGCKGACACATTGCAACGCAAAAGCAAAACACCGCGGAAAACTACTTCGGATAGTCATGTGGCTTCAAGGTAAGAATTCATTATTGATGAAGTTTTACTTTACTTTTACAACTTGGTTGGAAAGAATTTCTTTGTGACGTTTTGAAAGCACCAGCACCACGCTTCTTCAGAGGTGTTTCGCTCAAAATCTTAGGATCGCAATTTATATACACGGTGCCCCGTAAGCACATAATCAAAAAGGTACTGCGATATTCTTTGGATCAAAAGAAAACAATCTGACCTAACATTGTTAAGTGGCAAGAAAACAAACA